ATGAAAACCCAGCTATAAGTACAGTATTTTCATTTCACACACAAAAAAAGAAAAGAAAAGAAAGTTTTCTGGGAAAACATAAGCTGAGCTGCGGCAGGGCAAAGGCGTACACAACATCACACCGACAACAGAAAAGGCGAAGCATTGCTAACTGCAGGGACAATGGGGACCTCAGAGGCAAGTGTCAGGGAGGGTAGTAGCAGTGACAACTGTCGGGGTCAGCTCTCAGGAAGCGACTGAGCAGGGCAAGGGCTGATCCTGGATTCAGAGTGAAAGAGCTCGCCTAGTGAGAAGGCCCGTGGCCCAGGGCTCTGGAGGAAGAGTGTCAGGGCAGGCAGAAGAGTCTAGAAAAGTGCTTTGGAATTTTTAAATGAAAAAACAAAAACAAAAACAAAACCAAAAAACCAAAAACCACCCAAATGAGGCTTTGACGTTTTGAAAATCCAAAACCCACAATCTGGATAAAACCAGGAAGGTAAAACAAAAAATTGGGGATGTTAGTATATTTTATGCAGATTTGTGGGTTCTGTGAGTGGTGAAATAATTCATTGATTGATTACCTGCCTTATGGTAAAATCTAGAAGGAGAGAGGATGATAAAAATCTGCCATGAGTCAATGGCAGTTGTGCCACTAATTGAATCACATATTCATTCATAGACATACAGAGCATCCTTTGATGAAAAGGACCAGACAGGGTAGATACAGCCAAACAAAATTTCGATGGAAGAGACAAATATCATCTGCTATGAGATTTACCTGTCCTCTATGGGGAGACTTCTCTTCCAATTGACTAGGACATGGTGCAGTATCTCCACTACCCAGATTAGAGGTTTCCCTAAATCACTGGCAATTTTCATCATCCTCTCGGGATTCTAGAATAGGTGGAAACCAGGAGAACAAGGTACCTGCTCTTTGGGCTGCTGACAGAGGGTCCAGGCTGTGAGAGACTACATTTGCCTCGTGGCTGTTTGCAATGAACAGGGGTAAAGAAAGAAGAATGTTCAGTCTAGGCAAATAAAGACAAGCTAACCAATGAAAACAACCGAGAATGCAGCAAATGGCAAACAAATCAAATGCAATGATCGGTACCCACGGACCAAGGAAACTGGCTTTTCTTCAGTGGGCGGAACGGGATGGACTCATATTTACAGTATCAGACAGTAATCCAACATGAGTCTCGATGGTGGCATGCACCCATGAAGGGCACAGCCTCTCCCACCCCGCCTGGCAGAAGTGCAGATGACTGTGCTATGGAAGATTCTCTGTGCACTCAGTGATTCTAAACACGAAATTCACTTTATCATTCTGCATACTTCAGAGAGAATTCACAGAGGTCTTTTCATTTGGGCAACTTTGAGGGTACAGTCAATATTAAGAATTTTAATAGTAAAACGAGATGGTTCTTTGTAGAGAGGAAGCCCAGCAGGTTAGATAAACCTCAAGATCAATCAAAGCTAAATTTTGAATTGAAAAGCCAGTATTCCTTCACATTCTTAAACTAGGATCTATAGGAAACTAGTGAATGTTGGTAAAACAAAAACAAAACAAAATTCTAATAAGGATAACACATGTATCAGCATAGAAATAAGTATATATGACAAAAAAATACAAATGAAATTATTACTTCTAAAATCTAAGGGAAAATGGAATGAATATACTTATAGAGCCAGACAAAAATATCAAACAAAAATAAAAACAAGCTCCTAATTACACAGAGAACTGAGGTATAGAGGGTAGCAGGGGCCGAATTTGCCTTGTATCCTCTATGTGTTCTGCTGAGGCCGTCCCCACCATGGGCTGTGTATGGGGTTGGCTTGAGTAGTCGCCCTCTGAGGGTTAGTACCCAGAAGCCCCTGGGCACCGCCATTCAGAAGCCCCTTCACTGGAGAGTCAACGCAACTCCATCTTATCAGTTCAGCCAACTCACAAGAGGCTCACAATTCGCCCCTGCTTTTTGAGGCACTTCCGGGCACTACAACCCACCTTGGTTTAGTGGACATGCTGGTGGTAGTTTGCAAGAAAGGAGCCATCAAAGGGACACATGAGCGCCATTTTTAGAAATGGCCATTTGAGCAAGAAAAAAAAAAGTTTTTTCTTCCTGAATACTAGCCACACATTGAGCCCATTAATAACAAAACAAAACAAAACAAAACTCTCTTTTTCATTGCTGAGAACATGCGCTGCAAAGCTGGAGACATAATTTTACATGGGTGAATGCCCTTTCTTTCCTGTTTGGGGATTCCTGTTTTGAGGCTGTGGATCCTGTAGGCACCAAAAACTGTCACTTCCCACACTTCCTACCCATGGACCAACTGGAAAGGGCCAGCAGAAAGTTACCGATTTCTGTCTGTTTGGGGTACTTCTGCCTGATGTAGGACTCACGGATCCTGAGGTGTCCAGTTCATCTGCAGACGACCAGGAAGACAAATCCTGCAAGAGAAAGGGATGTGTTCAACAACTCCATATCCCAGAGCACTGGGGTCTCTGTTGCATTTCACCCGCTTCAGCCCTCTCCACCTTTATCTCTACATCTCCATCCTAAAGCTCAGACCTAAGGTGGCATAAAGAAAATCTAAGGTGACGGCAAGACCGAAATCTAATTCTTCTAGTTTATTGGGATGTCCTGACATAGGTTTGGCCCTTCTGGATACATGGCTAGTGGTCTACTTTTCTGGTTTTGCTATTATTTCTTAGTGACATGGGTACAAGTGAGTTGATAGTGGCCCCGGGTGGTGAGGTCGGGGGTAATTTCTCCTTTATAAGTACAGGTCACTCAGGACAGACAGAATCCAATTCATTTACGTTCGAAACAAATGAGTTATCTAGGAGTCTGCTTTGTGAAATCGGGAAAACTATACTGCTTCTACCCTGCTGTGACTCAGGGGAGGCTGTGCTTGGAATGCTTCCAGGGGAATGAGCAGCTTTGTGTTCGTGAAAGGATTTCACAACTGAATGTCGGAAATCTTACCAAGCACTGCTGTATCTACAGCCACATTGTCTCAAAACTAACAATATGGCCAGGATAGAGTTGATCTAAGGGGAAAAATGGGCAAAATAAACACATAGAGGACAATTCTAACGAATGAATGAATGAAAATGAATAAACATATAGATTCAAAAGGAGAGTTCACGCTCTCCTGCATGTTTAACAAAAAACCCACATGCGATGACCATGTTGATCCATGACAGCTGTCTAACTGAAAACATGTCATTTCTTAAATAAACAGTTGAGCCGGGCGGTGGTGGCGCACGCCTTTAATCCCAGCACTTGGGAGGCAGAGGCAGGCGGATCTCTGTGAGTTCGAGGCCAGCCTGGGCTACCAA